GGAATGCCTGGTGATTTGCAGTACTTAAATCATTGGGTGCCCAATTTGAGATGGTTTGAAAGGACCTAATATTTAGAAAATGGAAAGTTTGTTTTTTTAAACTCACACCAGTAAAAAACAGGTTCCTCGATTGGTGCCCAATTTGAGATGGTTTAAAAAGACCTGATATTTAGAAAATGGAGATTTTTTTTTTTAACCCACTCAGGTGAAAATCAGACTCCTTTAAGCTGCCTTGGGCAGGGCATCCAAGGGAGAAAGCCTTTTTAGTAGTCCCCATTAAGATTCTGCACCTGGAGAGCAGGGAGCACTTCTAGGCAGAGTACTAGATAACAGGAGGAATGTGCCCACAGGATAAGTGGGTCAATGGGCAAGCCCACACAAAGCTTGCTCTGTTGTCAGACTCATCTCCTTCCCTCAATTGCATTAGTCTGCCCTCCGGAGGCAGCAAGTACCTTTTCGCAGCGTGTGTGGGCTCTGCTCCGTGGACAGCTGCTGAGTGGGACCAGCTGCTTGCTGGGTGCTCCCACAGGGCGCCATGCTACTGGAGCCTGGGCTGCCTTTCTGCTGCCCAGACACAGGCGAAAGCTCCTTGGTTTTTAAAGTACTAAATGGAAACAAACGGGAACAAGAGGGAAGACGCATGAGTTCCTTTTTTTAAACTTAAAGTCACCCCATGCACATTTCCCTCCCGCTTCCCATCCACCTGCGGAGACTGCAGCACCACTCTGCTTTTGCCCTTTGCTCTCTGGCCTGATCTCCTCCATGCAGGCCGTGCCAAAATCAGCCCTGTGCGCCCACAAAGCCAGCTCTCCACATTTTCATACAGCAATTTTCCAGACAGAAGCTGGTTCTGCAGAAACACTTGACATACTGGACTCAAGACGTGCTTACATCTTTTCAAGCAGGCTGAGCACGATGAGAGCATGAAGCAATATGGCAGCCCTCAGTCATGTGGGACAGAGCAAAGATGGAACAAAATACAAATCCTTCTGCCCCCAAAGCCAGACAGCTGCTCTTCAAAGAAGGAACTTTGTTTTGTAAAGAAGTGAACTTCTTGTGGGCTTTGGGATTTTAAGCTTTGTCACCAAGTCCACGTCTTAATCATTTGCTATTGAGCCAATGCTTGGCCTGGAAGGATGGACTGGCTACAGGTGTCCAGATGGACCAACAGCTGAGGTTTTCAAACAAGGCAGCACAGCAAGCAGCGTTATGGCTCATCAAAGTCTTTAGCTCGGCATGCTGGCTGGCCCAGGTAATCCAGGTGAAATTTTATAGCCTATGCTGTAAAGGAGGCAGAACCCGCCAGCTAAGGAGGGAAGAGTGCAATGTGGTTTGTCCTGCGGGTACACAGGTGGATTCTGGTGCATCTGATGGTGCGTAGGACCCACTTCAGGGATTTACCCTCAGGTGAATCCAGAGGAGCACCACAGGTATCAATGGAGCTGTGCTGGATCAGCATCAGTGTAATTTTGCCTATGACATCCATGTTACTTTGATCCCTCTTCATGGCTCTGCCTGTCAGAAGTGGGAAAAGGACCAGCTTTGAGCATGTGCTCTGCTGGGGGAGGGGAGGAGAGGAACTAGGCAGGATACACATCAGGTGGGCTTCACTAGTCTTGTAGACTAGTTCATTACTGCCTGCCCTGCCTGCCCAGTGTCTACTCGGCCAACCTGAGCTTCTCTGGAGCTAATGGAGCCACCAAACCAAATAGGCCAGGCCACTGCTATTGAGCAGGCTGGGCCTGGGACATGGGATCTGAAGACTATTCGCACATATGCAACAGCTGCTTTCACCATGGTACACAGCGAGTGAGTCGCTCTTTAACCCTTTGCCGCGAGTGCTGCTCTTTCATTATCAAGGAAGCTTATTTACCTACTCAGCCCGGCTCCTCTGTCTCTGGCACAGGTGCAGCTGACCCAGGGGGGAGAGGCTGACATTAAGGGGTTGTGAGGAGTGCCAGGTGGATCAGGTTTGGTTAAGACAAGTGGGGTTTTGATGTACAGGGGGGAGATATTAATATCGGGAGCATGCGATTCAGTGAAGGAGCTCTGCTTGGGGAGGTGCAGGAAGCACGGTTTAGGGTTAGAGTTAATGTCAAGCTGCTGAAGGGAGGAAGAAGCAGAGGAGGAGGAAGAGGAAGGGGGAGGCAGAGTTTGGCTGTACCCTGACCACCGGTATGGTGGTGAGAGGGCCTCAGGTCTAGCCTTGGGGTAGAAATGATGGAGGTGACGATAGCAAGGAAAAGGGGAAGGCCTGTCATCCTCGGGGGAAGGGTAGTTGTAACAGGAATCCGACCAACTAGACGACACATCATCTGTGCTGAAAAATGTCCAAAAAAACAGAACAAAACAGAACAAAAAGAAAGAGCAAGTGTTTGTACTCAGAGGAACCAAACAGGCGAGTCATGACTGGTAGAGCAGCTAAGAGGAGTAATAAGAATTATAACTAAAATGAGAAACAACTGAGCCTGGAGCCTCTAGGATTACACCATGTGCGTGTGCGTGTGAGAGAGAGAAACACTGTGGGACTAGAGCAGTGGGTCCCAGCCTCCGCAGACAACTCCACCAGATTTTGCTTACAATGGTGTTGTCACACTAGGGAAATCCAGAATTTCTGAATTTACTCTAGGGAAACGGAGATCAGTGTCTGGCCCTAAACCTTCAAACAGTGTCCGTCATAGCTCTCCAACCTGCCCCAGACCCGGCCCAAGTCTGGTTTTGCATTTGAAAAAGCTACCCAAGTCCTACGAAAAGTCAGAGCATACATGGCTGAATAGGAGGTAGGCAGAAGATAGTCATCTTGGCCCACATCAGAGATACATGGATAAAGGAGGACAGGGTAGCTTGGGGCATCAGTCACTAGTACTGCACTGACTGTACAGGTCTGGGAGCCACTGATCTACAGAAAGGCAAGGCAGGAGTGGCATAGAGAGTGGCACAGAGAGGGCCCAAGCCAGGGAATAAAGACAAAATAGTGAGGCACTGTGCACAGATGCAAGGCCAAGCAAGTGTCAAAGGGTCTGCAGGAGGGATGCCCTGGACAGTGACTACTAAAAGCCCTTTCCAAACTCCAGGACATACAGTCACCTGGATGAGGAAGAACCTGCCCCAGAGGGGTTGGTGGCATGAAACGGTTTCTAATGAAGTTGCATGTCTTAAGGGTTTTTTTCTCAGTGGTGCCCCTCCCCTCAAGCTAGGTCCAAGATTTGTGTTGAGTTATTCTCACTGTAACATGATGCCTGTATTTATATGTAAAATAAAAGGGAAGGTGGAGGAACGACAGCATGATTCACATGGACAGACAACACAGGCTGACGTTTCCCCACACACTGAGATGGACTTGGCCTGTATGTGTTGGCAAAGGGAGGAGTGGGAGGGCAAGAGACTTACACAGTCCTAGGCATTGAAGCTAAAGTAGCAACTTCTGTGTAAAGTCATGCAAAAAGGATGTTGAGGTATGAAAAAGGCATCTAGCCAGGTTTGGAGAATAAGAAAACAAAATGTTTGTGTTATTACAGTTCAGAGTAGGATAAGGCAAAAAAACAGACCAGCTGAGAGAGAGCTTGTTAACCAATGCAGATCATAAAAGTCAAGGACATATGAATTGTTGGTAGCTACTATGGCATTCAAGGACAGAAGACAGGAAACGATATGGGGCAGGTTTTAATCTCGGTTGCTATACTACAATAAAGGCCATTCTGGATTCTCATCAGTAGCACAAGGATCAGAGCTCTTCATAGAAAATTGTTCAGTAATTTCAAAACTACCTGACTGCCCTTTGGGAGGGCAGAAGGAGTGGAGCCGTCACCAGGGAAATAGAAATCAGATTAAAATACAGACCCCGAGCAGGCGAACAACTGCATTAGATTTTGGTGCTCTTTTCTACCACCCAATCATGTTGATATAGGGCTCTTTCTGAGCTCTCTATCTAACGCCCAGCACTCACAACTGTCTCCAGCACACGCAAGGAGTTGGCTGTACATTGGGAAGTCCCTTGACATGCAGCACATTAGAAGCTAAATTCCATACTTGCTTTTGGCCAGAAGCACACCGAGAGGCATAGACTGGAAACATGAGTGAGTCACATCAGCCCCATTCTCTGTGCACACAGGTGATGACATCTGACAGGACAGCTTGTTTTCAGCCTGCCTGCCATGAGGCTGTGTGAATCCATCAACGCAAAATAGAGGGACTTCTGGAAGAGGAAGATTTCTCCTTCTGTGGGAGGAAAGTCTAGTCCAATGAAGCATCTGTTAAGGAATGGGCTTGAGGAATGATGTTTCAGGGCCAAACACATTTTTTCAAAGGAGGCTTCTACACTGTCTGCAAATTTCCTCATGTATCAGTACACTCTGGAAAAAATTAGGTGGCTGGAGATATGGAATTGGGGCAAATTAGTACAAGCACAAATGTTGCTGGTGTAATCGTTGCTTAAGGTTGGCTCATATACTCTTGCAGTCACCAAAAAGAATCACCATCCTTTTCCTGTCAGTCAGAGGATTGAAATGATACTCACTACAAAATAATTTAGGGGGTGAATCTGGCCAAGGGATGGCCATTTGTGGAAGGTCCAGTAGGAACAGCATATCCTCAGGACTCAGCAAGACAAAAGGCAGGAGCAGTGGAACAGCCAGCTGAGTGAACCCAATACTCAGCACTACCTGGTGCCACATGACAACTTTGACTTCAGTTTTTATGGTCTCTCTCTCATCTCTGGGCCAGCATAGGTGAGATGCCTTCAGACACAGGCAAGCTTGCCTTTGAGGGCAGGAACACCTTGCATTTCTAGACTGCAATGAATACAGGCAAAGATGGTATATTGGGAATGTAAAATGCACACATCCTGGATCAGGAAGTATATGCCCTGTGCCCTCAGCCTCTGCTTTTGCAAAATTTTCATTTTCCATCCAGCTGGGAACTACTTTCTAACCCCATTTACCCGGAGACTGCTCTGGCATTTCCCCATGTTCTTGGCCATAGCCGGGTGGCTGGAAGCTTGGTTTATTTTGCGCCTGGATTCACATACAAAAAGCTGATGCATGAAATAAAAATAGCGCATGCAGGTGAGAAGGAGGTGTGTCTGCAGAGGTTCTTGATCCACATAAAGCAGCAGCAGTAGCCGTCTCTGCCACCCGGACTTACCTTGTCCGTTCAGCTCCTGGCTGGAAGCCAAAGCTAGTTGGAGTAGGGGGGGGAGTAGCTGAAATATCAAGAGATTGCTCAGGAATTGGTGACTGAGGAGCAGCAGGAAGATCGGAAGGCGGAGCAGGGGGCTGCATGGCAGGCGGGGTGGAGGACGCTTTTCGAACTATGGAGGTGCCTCTGCGGGCCACCCAAGATGTGTCCATCACCCTGACGCCCATGCTGGGGGGACACAGAGACATTCCCTTACCATCTCGGAAGTCAGGGTCAGAGGAAAACAAAGAAAAGATTTGCACAAACAGCAGCAAAAGGGGAAAAAAAAATCTACTGCACTATACTCCGCTTGGAAAAGTGTATTCAAAGCCTGTCAGAGTTCCCTCCCAGGGACAATCCGTGTAGTCAACTGTCTCCTTGTAGAATATAGACTTTACCAGGACATGGGGACTTGACACCTGTGTAAGGCCTTGCTGGAGGCTTGGCCTAGCCTGTTTCGGGTCAGGTCCCTTTTTGGCCCTTCAGAAATTCTTCTTATAATAAGAACCCAAATGCTATTTCAACCTGTAAGACAGAAAGGACTACAGGGCCAAAATTGTCCTGGAAGACTTTGTAGACAGACTCCAAAGCACTCCAAAGCATGCCTTCATTGTCAGTTTTATCTTTTACTTTTAGAACTGCTAGGCTCCATTGGGCAGGACTGCATTTAGGGACTGACTCCTGACTCAGGCACCCTCGTGACAGCCCTCCCACAGACAACACCAGTGTTGCTAGAGGAGAGATTGAAACCAAAATCAACCCTAGCTAATCTTAAATGTTGTTTGTTTACTGTGGAGTTATAAGGATGTGCATGACTATTTGCAAATGCAAGGTAGCTGCAAAAAGCTATTATTTTAAGGGTTGCAAAAGTTGCTTTGACTGATACAGATTTCCCCCAAATGGCAGTCAGAAGTACGAAATCTGGGTTGGAGGTCTCGTCTCCAAACAGCCACAAACTTGAGTGAAAAAAACAACTTTGAAGCCAAAATGTAAGAGTGTGCATTTTAGACAGTGACTCCTAGGAAGTTAGAGTAAATCTCCCCACTGAATTCCCCCAAAGTTTTTTTTTTCTCTCAAAGTTATGAAGTGCAACAGTCATTTAAGTCAAATGAAGTATCAAGACCTAATTCTACATAGACTCATCCCTTCCCTCATTCCCCCTTTAAAATGACTTTAATGGAATACCACCAGGGGGAGAAGCCAGCTCAGAATTTACCTTTTAATGTCACTAAATGTAAAAAAAACAACCCATCACTTTCTCTTGCACAGCAGGGAATGAATGCCCTAACCTCATTGCCTACTGGAATGGTTCTGGCTTTGCTTTCAGAATGCAGATGGCCTGAGAGGCTTAAAATGGTCCAGTAGCTACTAGAGGATACTGTACCTTTGGATTTTCCTAAGGCTGCATGGACAGAAACATACAAATATTAGTGTAAAAGAAACTAAGTCTAAAAGCTTCCACTGGGCAAAGACAACCATCATATGGAAGCCAGTTCAGTGAGCCAAAATAACATCATAGACGTCTTTGAATAAGGTTACAGAAGAATGGCATCATCAAGAAGTCAAGCAGTTTGTTCAATTATAATAATAATGATTATAAAAACCTTACATGCCAAAGATTCTGCCAATAGAGAAGATTCTGCTATGCAGACAGGGATTTCCAAGAACTGTTATACCATACATGTGAGAGGAGGACAGGATTTGCAGGTGTGTATGAGAAGAGGGCCACGCGTTACTACATTAGAAAGTTCACATTAGATTCTGGTTTCTGGGGGATATTCTACAGTAGAGGAGCCTGGACAGCTGACATTTAACTCTAGGAGTGATCCCAAAGTGCGTGTGGGTACAGACAGTCCCAACTTGCAGGATGCTGTAAGTCAGGCATGCAACAGCCCTATTGTTAAATATGTTGTATGGTAGCTCACATCCCATAGGGAAGCCCCTTGAACACCTTCCCTCATTTCTGTGCTCCTTGTGGATACAAGAAAATATTCCCAATCCAACTGAGTACATGTTTCCTCTTTGCTCAGGTAGCATCCACTCCCCTGGGCTTGCGCTGCAGCCTTACATGTCTACAACTTGTGTGAACCAAACCACAAGACTTTCTCTTGAGATTTGACGGTGGGGCTTTCAAAATGGGAGTAATTTCAAAGAGATGAGACGGAGGCACTGACCTTCCTACCTGTCACAGAGCTAGCTGTCTCTCTCACTGTATATGTCAAAATGTTGAAGCTGGGGAAGAGGTCTACTGGTGGTGCAAACAAGGAGTGCAGAAGAGGAATTACATCCACTGAGCTGTTTTTCTAGCTCTGTCACTGACCTGCCATGTAAATGTGCAGCAAGTGACTTCAAATCTTTCTTTCCCATTTCCCCACAATACCGGGAGTGGGGTGAAGAGAAGTGCACTTCGTCTACCTCACCGGTGAATGTAAGAAGGCAATAATTGTCAGAAGCTGCTTAGATATTGTCAGGTGTTTAGTATCACCATTATGTACTCTTTGCCCCATGGTAGCACCAAGAGGCCTTTCTTGTGTGGCATGCTCTACAAATTCATAACTGTAGGGCACAGGCACTGTTGATCACCTAAGGAATTAGACAGCAGTTAAACAGAACAGTCAGGGATCTATCCTCTGACATCCTTAAACCAATGACAATGAATGCCAGGGAGGGTACAAGAGGGGATGGATTATACTAGACATGCGTTGTACATATAGAATTATAGAAAATTGGGGTTGGAAGGGACCTCAGGAGGTCACATCTAATCCAACCCACTGCTCAAAGCAGGACCACCCCAACTAGATCACTCCAGCCAGGGCTTTGTCAAGATGGGCCTTAAACATCTCCAAGGATGAAGAATCCACCACCTTTCTAGAGAACCCATTCCAGTGCTTTACCACCCTCCTAGTGAGAGTTTTACTAATATCCAACCTAAACTTCCCTTGCTGCAACTTGAGACCATTGCTCCTTGTTCTGTCATCTGCCACCACTGAGAACAGCCTAGCACCATCCTCTTTGTAACCACCCTTCAGGTAGTTAAAGGCTGATATCAAACCCCTGCTCAGCCTTTTCTTCTCCTGATTAAATAAGCCCAGTTCCCTCAGCCTCTCCTCATACATATGATGCCTCTACAGAATCTACTACTTGCCACTCTCAGACAGATTTCCAGACTAGACAGATAACTGGTCTGACCCAATATGGCACTTCTTATGTTCCTGAATAGAACCTGCTATTCATTATTTCTACATTTCGTTCCCATAGCTGATCCGGTCATGAATTCTATTAGGCCACATGTGTGACTTTAGAGTCACTGCATGGGCTGTAGTGGGGACTAGAAACCCTTGGGACACAGTACCACACATTTCTCCAGGGCTTACAGAGTGCTATACATGCCTGTGGTCCCAGGGAAATCAGAGTTAAAAGGCAGCAATAATCTATGTTGGCAAATGGTGTGTGAGGGCTTCCTTCAAAGGTTGCACTGTGCTAGCTAAAGGAAACCATAGTTTTGATTAAGCTAGAGGCAAAAACTTGGTTTGCTTGTATCATACCCAAATAATAATGATTCACCATAACAAGTAATGGAAGAGACCTTCCAGGCCTGTCCTGTCTTTCGCTTCACCACTTATCCAGCTTCTTACACTCATGATGATTGCACACACACATAATGCCACAATCGATACTAAGCCCCAGGGACCGATTCAGCAAGAATGTACATTCTCTGCTCCCACAGAACAGCTTGCAAGGCAGCGCCTTCAGGATCAGCAGTCTGCACTGTTCATTTAACCAGCTCTCCTAAGACTCCTGCACAATCTTTCTGTCTTTGGTAGGGTTTGTGTGCCCAATCATACTTACCCTCCAACTGCAAGTGGGGTAAGAGGAAGGGGAAATGGATCTCCCCCTCCTAAAAAGGCTAAAACATCAGCTGACATGGAAAGGCAGAGAGGTCAGGAGCAGGGGAGTGTGGGTGCGACAAGGCAGCAAGGCATCTGCGCTCACCCGTGTGGATGCTACCAGATACAGACCAGTCAGCGACAGAGCAGTTCTCCCAGCCAACATCCCGCCAGGTGCAATAGGCCCCTGTCCCGAGCAGATCTCCCAGCCAATGTTCTGTTGGATGCAGCCTCTTCCAGCTCATAAAACCAAAATGGACTTAAAATAAAAAGCCAAGCCTTAGCACTGAAGAGAAAAGACCCTACCCATCCTTTTTATAAAACTCCAGCATCATGTTGTCCGTGGCCACGCTGAGGGGGCGCCGGGCCTGGTCATGCTGTTTGCGGTCAGAGTGGTCCATGTCAGGTGAAGGCATGGAGCTGTAGTTGGCGTTGTGATTAACGTGCATGGGACTGCCATAGTTTCCAGTCACATTGAATTCGATGTCTGGTTGGGAAAGCAAGAGAGTCGCATGTTTTTAGGAGCATTTCCTTAGAGCCAGTATGGTGCTGAGAGGGTCTTGGCATGGAGGCCTCATTACTACCATTTATTACTTGTATAGTAACAATACCTAAAAGCCCCAGTTATGGACCAGGATCTCATTGTGCTGGTTGCTGTACAAACAACCCAGCATCTACAAGCTTGCTAGAGCCCACTCTCTATTGACAGGGGTAGACTAGTGCAGAAGGAATACAACAGAGGCCAGGAGAAGCAGAGAGCATCCTCTGCAGCTCCACGACGCTGCCTGCTCAGGACTCGGCTGAAGCAAACTCTGCCTTCCATGCTCCATCTCTGACTGCAAGGGAAATAACTTGGCTTTCTTGGGCCTTGGACTGCTAGACCCTATGGCAGATGCTGTAGAGGAACATGCCCTCGGATACTTGTGTCCTATGGCAAGAAGGGATAGCCCGTTCTTCAGCCAGCAGAGCTGCAGAGTCTGATTGCAGTGTTGGGATGGCAGTTCTGGGGAATTAATCCTGGAGTCGGGCTACTACAATGCCAGTACATCATTGGCGGCCCTGGGTGAGGGAGGCTGCGTCTCTACCTACCAGAGCCTATGTCAGTGGTGGGTTTTCTCATGTCCATCTCTAGTCACAGGGAACTAAACTGAGACTGCCCCAACCTATTCCCACTTCTCTGATTTTTGAGTCAGTTTACAAAATCTCTCCTGATCCTTCCCTGGAGGCCCCCAGTGATGAGAGATGCCCATGGCTAGCACACTTGGCTGGGATGATTCTTGGCACTAGGAGGTCCAAAAGGGCAGTGCCGCTGGCTGGAGAAGCCTGGCCTACCTCCAGGAAAGAACCAGTCGGCGTGCTGGATGAGGGGCTCGATAATTCCAACAATCTGCAGAGAGACTGTCGTCATCATCTCTGTGATGTTCCTGCAACACAGGGGTAGAGGCAGTGGCTAAATACAGACAGGAAGACTGCAATGGCTGCTGTTCACAGAAGCAATGCTCCATAGCTTTGGCCAAAGCCAATGTGGGCCAGTTCTGATAAGCAGTCCCCCTACTATTCCAACATAGCTCTGCTAATGCACTACAACCCTGATTTGCAGGTCCCCTTCCTGGTCCACGAGGACTTTCCACACTGGCTGGTATTTGAGACCTAAGCTGTCCCACAGCTCTTAGCCAAGGGATCTGCATGCAGCTCTGCCAATCCCCCACAGTTCTGACCTGCAGTCCCTGCTACTCCAACCTGAGCCAAGAATGCTAGTTGTGAGGAATGTCAGATGTGGAAATGCTCCGAGGACACAAAAATGTAAGGGCATCTACTCATTGCTTCCCCTCTGCTCAGTATTTTCTCTTTGCATTTATTATTAATAGCACTGCTCTTCATCCCTAGATGCTTCTTAATTAATGAGTTTACTAATAAGCATGATGCTCAAGGTGCTTTCCAAGGACTGTTGTGCTCCTGTAACAGCTCCTCAGCTGGGGTGAAAGAGCAGGGCCTTGCTGTGGTTTGCTGCCACTCCCGCTGGTACCAGAAAAAGATCTAGACCTTTATTCCCAACTCATTCCTGATGTTCTCAATAACATACCAGTTTGGCTGCAGATACTAGACAATCATGACATAATTCGGTGTGATAAATGCATCCACAGTGCAGCTACTTTACCCTTAGGCAACAACAGTGGTCCTAACATGCGAATAATTCTCTCTGCATTCTTCCAAACCCGCCTCTTTAGGCATGTGAGTGTAACAAGTGAGCAACCAGGGGCCGGTCAAGTCATTGGCCTGCCCACTTGTGTCTGGGCTAACCGCCTGCCTACCTCACCTTTGATAATGCAATTAAAAGTCGATAACAAGGCAGGAGGCTGCCTATATACACGGTTCCAACCTTCCCTATACCGTGTCCTTTGCCTCACAGATGGCCTCATCCCCTGCCCAACACTGGGCCTCAATCCCCTTATTCCCTCACCCCAGTATTGCTCACTGGGCCTCAATCCCCTTATCCCCTTGCAGCAGCTCCAGCTGGGTGGTGTTCTTCTCCTGGCTGCTAGCAGCTGACTGCTGGCTTCACTGCTGAGAGCCCTGTTCTTATAACAAGCAGCTGGGCCCTGTTCCCAATCAGGCAGTTGTGTCTGATTAGGAGTGCAGACAGCTGCAGACTGCTCTGCTGCTTGCTCACACCCCTGTGAGTAACAGAGCACAACTTATGCTCTGTTACAGTGAGTGGCCTGATTCCCAGAGATGCTGAGCATCCATCTTCCTGCCAACTTCTACCAGAATTAAGGGTGCCCAGCACTTTAGAAAAATCAGGGTGAAAGAAAACAAGAACAGAAGCAGCTACCATTAATTCATTGCCAAGAATTGTCTCCAAGGTAACTGTTCTATTCTGCTTTCTCCTCTGTGTAGGTGATCCTCTCCATCTTGGCCAACTGACTGGGCGTATCTACACATGTATCTTTTAAGTAGACTTAGCCTAAAAGAGCTATTAAGGGTGTGTGGACGCCCTTTAGGAACCTTAAAAATGGTGATTTAAGGCTATATGAGTCTAAATTTGATATTTGCATAATGCAGGTGTCAAATTTAGGCACGGATAGCTAAGTCACATTAGCACATGTGTAGACTTGTCAATGCACATTAACGTGGTGTGCATCAATGGATACACACCATGTTAATGGGCATTAGCCCATCTGCATGTGCACTAATGTGACTTAGCTATTTGTGCCTAAATTTAATGCGCATGAATGTGCATTAGCTTGTCCAAGTATAGACGCGCACGTAAATTGCCTTACTGCGCCTTAAATAAAGGTGCATTAAGTTTAGGCACACACAAATACATGTGTAGGCACGCCCACTGTGGACTGAACTAAGGACTTGCAGAGCTAAAGGCCTGAGATGCCACAGCTTGATCGAAAGCAGTGATTCTCAACCAGGGTGTTGTGAGATCCTTGTAAGGGTGCCATAGGGTACTCTGCAATATTATCATTGTTGTGTGTGAAAACACCTACACAGCATCAGTGAGAAAAACCCAGAGATTTCAAACAGGAATTTGCAGTGTAAAAATGACGTCTGACCTGTGGTGGTTTTTCTGAGTTTTTTCTAACAGAACTGCTTCAGTATTTTTCTGCAGTCAAAGAACGAGTGAAAGTTATAAGCTGACATTTTCTCAAGGGTGCCCAAGTCTAACAAGGGGTGCCTTAAGCCTAAAAAGGTTGAGAACCACTGATCTTAAAGAAACATGACTTGGGCTATAACAAACTCCCATCCACTGTTGTTTGGGCAGAGAGAGAGACCTGCACCACACACTCACCACTTACCCTTCTGCTTGAGGCCAAAGGAGATTGGGACCCAGCACTATTGCCACGTTGCTCGGTGTCATTTTGTTAGCATCCTGGTACTCTGTTAGCTTTGCTAAAAATTTGATCAGGTATCTGAAAGAGATGATCAAGAGACAGGGGTAAGACTGGACAGGCACCTTAGCCTATGTTTGTAGGGCACATTCTCTGTAACTGCACCAGCCACTGAATGCTTCTTTCAGAAAAGAACAAAGTAAAACCACATACTACATGCCAGTTACTCTCAGGGCTATAGTACCTTGGCCTCTATCACATCAGGTAGTTTACAGGTCAGGACTTGCAGTGAACGCCAGAAACTACCATGAACTCAACAGATATTTCACTTGGACACTTACAAACCAATTCTAAGGGACCTTTTCAATCCTTCTGTGACTTGTCAAAAGCCACCCTATCCCCAAAGCCACCAAGGCTGCAATACAAGTGGAGATACAACCCAGATGTTCCACTCTCAGTCTTCCTCTCTAACCACCAGCCAAAGTCGCTTTCTGTAAGGTTGTAAGACATGCCTTTGCTTTAGGCTTCATGGCCTAGTCACAACATAGATTTATTTCCATTGCTAAGAGCCTAAAGGTATAAGTATACAGACGGATGGAAAATTATAACATTAAAAGGGGTTGGGGGGGGAGGGGAGAAAATTACCATGTATCAAGCTAATCCACTAAAACTTTCTGTGTCTACTTGCACCCCATGGTAAACAGAAGCTTAGTCTGTTATTCATCAATTGTTTCAGTTAGGGGTAAACTGTCTTGGTTTAGCTCCTAATTACTGTGTGATACAGCAGACATCAGGAATGGTTATACCAGATCAGTTGACATAAGATCATGAGTTGTAAATTCCTTCCCTTTTAGTTCAGTATAATCTCTCTGCTCTCCAGGATTCAGATCTAGTCCAGGATCTAAAGTGCTCTAGTACAAACCACATCCAATAGGAAATCCTACCCTACTGGGCAGTAACTGCTAAATCATAGGAGTCAATAAACCCACTCTCTGCAGACAGCAACCCTTTGGACCTGCCCTTCTCCCAACAGCCTGGGTGGCTGATGCCTTGCAATACGCACCAAAAGTCAATAGATTTGGGCCTTCCTGGATCAACGTTGTAGGAAATAGATTCCTGCATCTCTGTATGACACTGGATTCACGAGGAGGGAACTGCTCAATAACAAAGCATGGAATTCAGGAGACAAGGCTGTCGCCATTAGTCACTGTATTTGGTAATAACAATAAGGCTGGGATTTTCAATGAGGCTTAAAGAAATGAGGCAGCCAAATCTTCTTGAAGTTCAACTGGAGATGGACTAGTGCTCCTTTAAAAACCCCAGGTTCAGTATTTTATTGATTGAATGGACTTCTGTCTCTTTGCTGCAGGTGTCCCCAGTCCTGCTGCTCTAAAATTACATGGAGCTATATATACTGTTATGCCCCACATGGTGTTAACTCCATGGGCACTAAGCCAAGAACATGCAATGAAACGGGGTATCTCAGGAAGTGCTCTGCAGCTCCAGTTCTATGGCCAGCATCAGGAAGTCAAGTCAAGGAGGACCTAGAAAGAGCTTTCAACCTCTGTAGTCTATCTGATCTCCCACACTCCCCTCTCCCTAGGGCAGAGACAGGGAAAAGTTGAGGTGGGAGGTAGGCAGGTCCTTACCCAGTAATCTGTCTGCCACCCTCCCATAGAAATGCACAAGTGGCACTCGGTGCTCTTTTACTATGGCTGAACTCAATGCAAATGCAGCCTTCATGTTGTGCACAGAAGCTCCTGGGATCCACCCCACACTAAGAAGGGTTTTGAATAGACTGGGCTGAGAGATTCATTTAAACTAGCACAGAGTAGGGCTCACCACAGACTCAGAGCCACATGCCAGAACAGGACACCTGGAGACCAGCAAGACTCCCTGAATCAGTACTTGTTACGGGAGGTACCAAAAACCTTCCAACTTCAGTGGAAGCTCAGCAGCTTGTGGGATTGGGCCAAGTATCACTAGCCAGGCAGAAATCCAATTAGTATTAGTGGGACTTAGGCAGGGATTTGAGGACAAAAATACCCCCAAGTTCCTACTTACTCGTGGTCTACACTAGAGGACTCCACCACTTCAACTCAAACTGGTTTCTAACTCAATGTAGTTATAACTGTGCAAAGACTGGTATGATTGTATGATGACCCTCATCTTGGCCAACATACCAGAAACTGGAATAAGGATGGTCGTCACCAGAAACAGTACTGCTAGTTTCAACTAGAGATCCACTGGGGGCTGCCCATACACCCTCACCTGGCACAAAGGGAGGCACAGTCCACAGTAATGCTCTTCATACAATTAAATTCACTTAAGCAAAATCACAATAAATATGGTTTACACTGAAATGTGATGTGCACACATTTCAGCAGGGGCTCCAGGGGGTTCAACAACATGCTTTAAAGTCATACTTCATGCCAAACTTGGCCACTGTGCATGGGGACATGGTCTAAGTGTCCCTGTTGCACGTGCATGCACACACAAATGCATGTGCCCACCCATGCACTGACCTGATGTTGTTGTAGTTGGTCTTGGGCAATTTTTCACAGGCATTCCATAGGGCCTGCAGCCTCTTATCTTGGTCCTGGATGCTAGGAAGGGAAGAAGAGCATAGGATTAATTTGTCAGCTCATCACATGGCTGGACCATTAGCTTTGCTGAGTCCTTGACTCTTCTCAAGAAATGGGGCCTCAAATCTGAATACCCTGACAAATGGAACACCTTTGAAATCTGTACCTGAATGAACCCAGGAAGTCATATTGGGAACTCACTTGGAGGCTTGAATCCATTCTTCATAAAGTTCAAAGGTCATGAGAGGCTCTGGCAGCTCTCGGAGATAGGACTTCAGTGCTCCTAGAAAACAAAAGGCAACGCTGGCCATTTAGGACCAAAGTAAGGCTTTCTGGGCAGGAACTGCAGGGGACTTGTGCTGCACCTGGGGTTGGATTCTAGCCCCTGCAGCAAAGCACAGAGGTCAGGGTCTAGGTTCTGTCTGCCTTAATGGCAGCTTCAGAGCAGCCTCACTATTGTTATTTCAATAACCAAAACTGCCTAATTAGAATGCTAATAACTGTGACAAAAATTCAGGTT